GCCGTCTTCAGGTGAAGAACAGGTCTGTCAAGGATTCTGTCTCTTGACAGACCTGTTCTTCAAGGATTCTGTCTCTTGACAGACCTGTTCTTCTGAAGACGGCTACTTGCGTTGTGGCCGAAACGTCGTGAGAATTATTTTATTATGTTTTATTTTTATTTTTTAATTAATTTCTTTCTACGTGACTTTGCCGAAAGAACCAAGAAGATGGACCTTGCAACACTTCACGAGGTCTCGGAGTGCACCTGGCACGGGTGGGGGGAGGGGGGTTTGCTTCGGTTGCCCCGAGGTTCCGATGCCGCGTGCGGCTCTTCAAGGACTGATTCGTGATGCCCCCATCTTCGTGCTCTTGAAATAATGAGGGGGTTGTATTTTGTTCCCAATTCGAAATAGAACGTAGCTCCTCTTGTTGTTCATATTCCTTGGGTCGGTCGGCGAAGTCACGTGGATAGGTTCAAAGAAAATAACAAAAAATAATCAAAAATAACCAAAAAAACTACTGCGTTTCGATCGCAACACAAGCGGTCGTCATGCGCTTGTGTTGCGATCGAAACGTCGAAGTCTATTTTTATTTTTTGTTATTTCTTTGAACCTATCCACGTGACTTTACCGAAAGATCCAAAGAATATGAATTCCTGCAGTCACGAAAGCGTTAAGTCAAGATACAGCACGACCCCGTGACCTAGCACCACCACGTGACCTTGCACGACCACGTGACCTTGCACCACCACGTGACCTAGCACGACCCCTGACCTTGCACGACCCCGTGACCTAGCACGACCCTGTGACCTTGCACGACCCCGTGACCTAGCACGACCCTGTGACCTCGCACGACCCCGTGACCTTGCACCACCACGTGACCTAGCACGACCCCGTGACCTTGCACCACCACGTGACCTAGCACGACCCCGTGACCTTGCACAACCCCGTGACTTTGCACAACCCCGTGACCTTGCACGACCCCTGTCCTAGCACGACCCCGTGACCTTGCACGACCCCGTGACCTAGCACGACCCCGTGATCTAGCACGACCCCGTGACCTAGCACGACCCCGTGACCTTGCACGACCCCTGACCTATCACGACCCCTGACCTTGCACGACCCCGTGACCTCGCACGACCCCTGCCCTATCACGACCCCTGACCTTGCACGACCCCGTGACCTCGCACGACCCCTGACCTAGCATGGACACAAGCGCCGTGGTGACGTCGCTGCCACATAAGACGAACGGCGGTTGTGGTTGTTGTTGTGTCTGTGCATCTGTCTGCGTGCGTCTCTGCGTGTGCATAAAACAAATACAAAGCGGTGCTGGTGGTGCACTACTGACCTGCCCACCTGGGTTCGATTCCCCAGCCACGGCTGACAACAGTGGCGAGTGATTCCTGAACCTCTCCTGGAGACCCCCCCCCGACCCCCCGCTCTGTGTCTCACCCACACCAACCCCGCAACTCGCCTCGATAACGCCCTCGCAGATGCCGGTGGGGTAAAGTGCGGGTAGGGCCCCACCGCTCTTCCGACACTCGTGCTCAACGTTGGAAGAGTAGGCCAAAACCACGGCTTCGGCGCTTGCGACGCGCTGCAGTTAAGAGGCGGCGGGGCTGCGCGTGTCTCGGTCATCGGATAGCTCCAACTGCGGCCCGCAGAGCGCGCGTTGATTGCACGCGTGTCCCGTATTGGCACGCACATACAGACACCAAATGAATAGCAAATACGACTAAGCCTGGCTTTTGTGGGCTAGTAGAGGGAGCATTTTGTTTATTCTGCGGATAACGAGCGCGGCCAAGGCCCTCTGAAAACAAATACAACTATATTATTATTAAAATTGTAAAATATAGATATGTTTTATATATATAACGATGGGACAGCTACGGTGAGATCAGCGTGGGGAAGGGCGATAAGATGGAATATTTACAGTTGGCAAACAGTTGGGAGGAGATAGCGGCTGAGGGATGGACGTCCCCGCGAGGGAGATGGAGCGACGGACTCGACTCTGGTGAGAATCGCCTCGTCGTAAGAGATGGAGGCTACGTGAAGAGGCCTTCATCCAGCAGTGGATTATCCATGGCTGCTGCTGTTGTTGTTTCTTACGACGATGATGATGATACATCCCGCACCTCCGATTAGCACGGCTGGCTACGTTCGGTGCGAAATAAGTTCTACGTACATACATGAACACATTATCAATCGCATGATTTCGCTTGTTGACCCAGGGAAGCCTCACTGAGTCTCGTGACTCGTTCTCAGGAGGGTCTTGCCGAGTTGTTTTTGCGGGAGAAGGGTGCTGATGTCGCTGCTGTTGCTGCTGAGGTGTAATCCCAATTGAGTAATTTTTAAGCTGTTGGTTTTTTATAGCATTGGAATATTATTGGGGCACTGCAGTGGCGAGATGGTAACTACCTCGCCTGGTATACAGGAGGTCGTGGGTTCGATCCCGGTCCTGACGACGCCTGCTGTATATTTGGAGTTTGCGTCTCTCTCTCATCATCATCATCATGAGGGTGGCTAGGAGATGTTAACTACCTCGCCTAGTATACAGGAGGTCGTGGGTTCGATCCTGACCCTGACGACGCCTGCTGTATATTTGGAGCTTGCGTCTCTCTCTCGTTATCATCATCAGGGTGGCTAGGAGATGTTAACTACCTCGCCTGGTATACAGGAGGTCGTGGGTTCGATCCTGACCCTGACGACGCCTGCTGTATATTTGGAGCTTGCGTCTCTCTCTCGTTATCATCATCAGGGTGGCTAGGAGATGTTAACTACCTCGCCTGGTATACAGAAGGTCGTGAGTTCGATCCCGATCCTGACGACGCCTGCTGTATATTTGGAGTTTGCGTCTCTCTCTCGTTATCATCATCAGGGTGGCTAGGAGATGTTAACTACCTCGCCTGGTATACAGGAGGTCGTGGGTTCGATCCCGACCCTGCTGTATATTAGGAGTTTTGCATGTTTTCTCTTTCCCTACCGTGGTCGCGTGGATTTTTCTCCGGGTCTACCGGTTTTTCCCTCCGCATATAGAATCAACATCTCGCGTTAAGTGTATTTGTCTCCTGCTAAACATTTCCACGTGACGACAAGCCACTTCGCTGAGCTGTCGTTTGTGGCCAGGTCGCTTCTGAAACAGAACTACGTAGCTCAGTGGGCCTCGCCTGGCAAAATAAAATAAATACACGTGGCCAATACTGGTCATATTCTTAGGTTTTTTTCGGTTAAGTCACGTAGGTAAAAAAAAAAATTCATAAAAGTTAAATAAAAATAAAATCAAAATCACGACGTTTCGGAGGCAACACAAGCTTCCGTCTTCAGGTGGAACCGTCACAGCACGATTGCTGCATCAAGTGAGAGAAATTCCAAGAAAACAGTCCTTGTATATATACTGGTTGAGGGTGGGAGGAGCCAAGGCAGACACCTGGATATTATTGTTGTGAGGTTCGGTGCGGCTGAAGAATCAATACTGGTCACATTGTGTGTTTGTTTGTGTGTTTGTTTGTTTGTTTTTAGCAATGGGGAAAAAGCAGGGTACCCGGAGTAAACCCATGTAGAACAGTGGAGAACGTACACACACCCCACACTCACTCAATCAACAGAGACAAACACCCCCCCGTATAGCCTTAACAGACTGGTTAGGACAAGTGGTGTTAGCGAGTAGCACCTATGAAAGGCGGTACCTTCGAAGGCCGGAGAGGCTATACGGGGGATCTTTGTCTTTTGTTCACTATAAGCAACGTCGGGAGGAGATGTGCAGCGGGTAGGACCCCCAACGACCTGCGTTCGATTCCCGCTCACGGCTAAAATCAGCGTCGGCGAATAGCTGAGCCTGGGCCTCCCCTAGGTCAATGCAACGTCCATCTGCCAACTCAAAGCGAGTGATGGATTTTGGGCTCATCTCTGCCGGCGGTGGTGGACGGAATTCCACATTATCATGGCGGTGGGCAAGTCAGTCACGCCTCTGGTAGAGCACGTGGCAGCGCGACAGGCGGATTGACGAGAATATACCTACAGGGTAAATATATTGTGGTGAGATATTGTTGATGTTACATCGTGTTTTTATTGATATATTTACACGTTTACCTCCAGGTGAATCAGCGGTTGTGAGAGCGAGCGGGTCCCAATGAAATCTAAATGTGAAGCGTTGAAATCCTGATTGGTGGCGGTTGACTCAGCCCATCATCCCTTCTTCGGGGGGGAGGTAGGGTGGTCGATAAAGCGTCTACCAATCACGTGCGCAGCGACCCCGTCACACTTCACGTGGGGTCGGCAAACCTCTTTTGTGACGTTCAACACCGCCCCGCCCCCACCACCAGCCCCCGAATGACATCATTCGCGTCACGCACGTGACCCAGGAGACGCGTCACCAACCGTCAACCGCGTCGGCCTCCATTTTGCTCCGTGGCGGCCGTCGATTTGCGGGGCCCCCCAAAAGTCGTGGCCAGCACGCGTTAAGGGGCCGACCATAAATGACGTCACGCACCTAGGGGGTGGGGGGGTGGTCAGATATTTGTTACGATGTGTGACGAGGGGGGGGGGTGTTGTTGAGAAATGTGACGTCACATCAAAATGCACAACTTTAAATAAATATAGACAACACGTTCTACTTAATTAAATAGACGTTTAATAAATGTTTTCTCCTGCAACATCAGAGTGCAGCGCCACATTAAATACGCACTGCAATGTCAATAGTTTAGAGCGATTTGAAGCATTTTTTTTGGGGGGGGGGGAGCTTGTGACGTCATATTTGAGGGGGGGGGGGGGCTGACTTTTTGTGACGCCGTCTGACGACCGGGGGGGGGGGTCAAAAATTGCCTAAAATCGCGTGACGTCATTTACGGACAGCCCCCCAACCACAGAAAACCTCGAATCCTCCAATGGTGGAACTTCTCTCTCTGTACGCAACCCCACACCACAACGCCGGTTTAACCGTGCCCGTGCTGTTGTCTGCCTCTTGTCCTTTGCCTTCTGTGACCCCCACCCCACCCCACCCACACAACGTGGCCGGCGCAAAGACGCAAATGGAGCGGCTAAGGAAGGTGGAGCGCATCTGCCGAATGCTGAAAAAGGTCTGCTGGTCATGCGTCACACACGCGCGCACGCACGCACTCCCACACGCGCGCTCGCCTCCGAGCCGCGTCGACCCCGTGACATCTCTCCCCCCCACCTACCTACCTGCCCCCCACCCCGCTAAGATGATGATATAATCTCCTGCGATCTCTGCGTTAGCAGGCGCACTGTCACCCTACACCGCACACCTCACACCGTGTCGTGTGAAGCAATGGGTTGAGGGTGACGTTTTATCAGCTGGTCGGTGTGGGGTGTGTTAGTGTGTGTGTTAGTGTGTTAGTGTGTGTGTTGGTGTGGTTTGTGTGTAGGTGGTGTGTGTGTGTGTGTATGTTAGTGTGTGTGTTAGTGTTGTGTGTGTGTTAGTGTGTGTTAGTGCGTGTGTTAGTTTTGTGTGTGTGTGTGTTAGTGTGTTTTAGTGCGTGTGTTAGTGTGTGTGTGTTAGTGTGCGTGTGTTAGTGTGTGTGTTAGTGGTGTGTGTGTGTTAGTGTGTGGTGTGTGTTAGTGTGGTGTGTGTGTTAGTGTGTGTTAGTGTGTGTGTGTGGAGAGAGTGGATAGTTTCCCATACCTGGGCAGTGTGCTTATGACCGGCTCCAGTTTAACAGCAGAGGTCTCACTCCGAATCAGTCGAGCGGCAATATATTTTCGTCGGTTGCGTAACGCTGTGTGGAAGCTACCTGGTCTGTCGCTCCGCACGAAGCTTCAGGTCTTCTCGGCCACAGTCATTCCCTCCCTTCTCTACGCTTGCGAAACGTGGACCCCCTAATGGAGCATCTTCGCCGGTTGGAAACATTTAGGCTGGCCTGCCTACGATCCATCCTGGGTTTAATCAGGCTGGATTGTGTGAGGAGCTCACAAATCCTTGAAAGATCTGGGCAAAGTCCCATCGGAGAGCTCCTCCGGCAGGCAAGGCTGCATTGGCTGGGTAATGTAGCCCGCATGCCCAGCCACCGCATGCCTAAACAGCTTTTGTTCGGCCGGATCGAGGGGGCTAAACCGGCGCGGCACGGGCTAGAGAAGAGATGGAGTGATGTGGTACAGGAGGACGTGGAGCTGAGTGGACTTGCCGATGACTGGTACCAGCGGTGTCAAAATCGGCCTCTGTGGAGGAGGCTCGTGAAGGACGCTACCGGGCAGTTGGAGGCAGTCGCCCTCCAACAACAACGGAGGGCGGAGGAGCGACGCTCACAACAACGAGCAGAGCACCGGGTGGCTAAAGCACAGCAAGTTGGTACAGTAGGGGGCACAGGTGGTGCATCAGCCAGTCGTCTCGGTCATCTCGGTCAGTCGACACGTGGCACCTGCTGGGTCTGCCCCGTGACCTCCTGCCAGCGGGCGTTCGACACTTCACGTGGCCTAAAGGTGCACATGGCCTGGCACAAGCGTCGTGGTGATGTCACCGCCACTTAGTGGCGAATGGCGGTTGTTGTTGTGTTAGTGTGGTGTGTGTATTAATGTGTGTGTTAGTGTGGTGTGTTAGTGTGGTGTGTGTTAGTGTGTGTGTTAGTGTGGTGTGTGTGTTAGTGTGTGTGTTAGTGTGGTGTGTTAGTGTGGTGTGTGTGTTAGTGTGTGTGTTAGTGCGGTGTGTGTGTTAGTGTAGTGTGTGTGTTAGTATGTGTGTGTATTAGTGTGGTGTGTTAGTGTGGCGTGTGTTAGTTTGTGTGTTAGTGTGGTGTGTGTGTTAGTGTGTGGGTTAGTGTTGTGTGTGTGTTAGTGTAGTGTGTGTGTTAGTATGTGTGTGTATTAGTGTGTGTCAGTGTGGTGTGTTTATTAGTGTGTGTGTTAGTGTGGTGTGTGTTAGTGTGGTGTGTGTATTAGTGTGTGTATTAGTGTGGTGTGTGTATTAGTGTGTGTGTTAGTGTGGTGTGTGTTAGTGTTGTGTGTGTGTTAATGTGGTGTGTTAGTGTGGTGTGTGTTAGTGTGGTGTGTGCTAGTGTGTGTGTGTTACTGTGGTGTGTGTTAGTGTGGTGTGAGCTAGTGTGTGTGTTACTGTGGTGTGTGTTAGTGTGGTGTGTGTTAGTGTGTGTGTGTTAGTGTGGTGTGTGTGTTAATGTGTGTGTTAGTGTTGTGTGTGTGTTAGTGTGGTGTATGTTAGTGTGTGTGTTAGTGTGTGTGTGTGTTAGTGTGGTGTATGTTAGTGTTGTGTGTGTGTTAGTGTGGTGTATGTTAGTGTTGTGTGTGTGTTAGTGTGGTGTATGTTAGTGTTGTGTGTGTGTCACAGTGCTAGTGTTGTGTGTGTGTTAGTGTTGTGTGTGTGTTAGTGTGGTGTATGTTAGTGTGTGTGTTAGTGTTGTGTGTGTGTTAGTGTGGTGTATGTTAGTGTGTATGTTAGTGTTGTGTGTGTGTTAGTGTGGTGTATGTTAGTGTTGTGTGTGTGTCACAGTACTAGTGTTGTGTGTGTGTTAGTGTTGTGTGTGTGTTAGTGTGGTGTATGTTAGTGTGTATGTTAGGTGTTGGTGTGTGTTAGTGTGGTGTATGTTAGTGTTGTGTGTGTGTCACAGTGCTAGTGTTGTGTGTGTGTAGTGTTGTGTGTGTGTTAGTGTGGTGTATGTTAGTGTGTATGTTAGTGTTGTGTGTGTGTTAGTGTGGTGTATGTTAGGTTGTGTGTGTGTTAGTGTTGTGTGTGTGTTAGTGTTGTGTGTGTGTTAGTGTGGTGTATGTTAGTGTGTATGTTAGTATTGTGTGTGTGTTAGTGTGGTGTATGTTAGTGTTGTGTGTGTGTTAGTGTGTGTGTTAGTGTTGTGTGTGTGTAGTGTGTGTGTTAGGGTGGTGTATGTTAGTGTGTGTGTTAGTTGTTGTGTGTGTGTTAGTGTGGTGTATGTTAGTGTTGTGTGTGTGTTAGTGTGGTGTATGTTAGTGTTGTGTGTGTGTTAGTGTGTGTGTTAGTGTTGTGTGTGTGTTAGTGTGTGTGTTAGTGTGGTGTATGTTAGTGTGTGTGTTAGTGTTGTGTGTGTGTTAGTGTGGTGTATGTTAGTGTTGTGTGTGTGTTAGTGTGGTGTATGTTAGTGTTGTGTGTGTGTTAGTGTGGTGTATGTTAGTGTTGTGTGTGTGTTAGTGTCGTCTCTCTTTGCGTCCTGCGCCACGAACCCGGCAACTCCGAGTTGGATTCCTCCTCGTGAGATTGTTGACTACCTCGCACCTCCGATTAACACGGCTGGCTACGTACGGCACGAAAGAAGTTCAACAGAAATACATAAATAAAGGGAGTTGGTGGGTTCGATCCCGACATTGACGCCTGTATATTTGGAGTTTGCGTGTCTCTCTCCCCATGGTCGCGTGGGTGTTTCTCCTGCTCCTCCTGTTCTACCCTCCACATTTAGAATCAACATCACGCGTTTAGAGCATTTTGGCTACGATAATTTTACGCGTGATAAGCCACTTCGTTGAGCTATCATTTGTGGTGGCCAGGTCGCTTCTGAAAACAATATCTAGATAGCTCAGTGGGGCCTTACCTGATTAAAAAAATAGCACGGTGAGAAAAAACACGTGAATGCACTCATGGCTACTTGAATATCGAATAAGCGAGTGGCTGAACATCGGAAAGCGATCAAGCCCCCGATATTTGAGGCGACGTTACGACGCAGCTGTAATGGTGATGGAAACTGCTGCAAGACATCTAAAGGCCCCACTGAGTCTATAGTTTGGTATTTCCTGAGTCACTCCCCCCCCCCCACACCCCCGTGATTAGCATTTAAATTGACCCCACATCAGAATTTGCTCCAACAGACTCGACAATCACCCAGCCCTGGAGCTCAGAATTGCAGACCGGTCGTCATTTCCCACTTACCCAACTGTGGCTTTGAGCCACAAGTGATTTGGTTTTATTTTGAGTCAAGGAGGGTGCAGAGGCAACGACTACAATTTCACATTCGGGGTTGGTCAAGCGTAGCAGATAACAGTCAGCAGCAGCAGCAACAGCCGTAGCAGAGTAGTTTTATCACTGCTGTGATGTCTTCTTCGTATTTGTGCATCGGAGCCATTGCGTCGTTACCCATTGTAGGTCTCTGTTCTGGTTGATCTACAGTCGCACGCTACTTCTGGAGAGTTTTTTTTATTTATTCCCCATTCGAGCATCAGGTATCCGCATCTGCTCTCGTGATTTTAACGGATTTGGTTTCGGGGTGGACCGCGAGCTTCGTGGAAGATCAAACCCCAGGGATTTTCTACGTTGGGTCTTTCACAAATATTTTATTCTTAGGTTTTTTTTGTAAAGTCACGTAGGTAAAAAATTTAAATTAAAAAAATGAAATAAAAATAGAATAAAAATCACGACGTTTCGGAGGCAACACAAGCTTCCGTCTTCAGGTAGAACCGTCACAGCAACGACTGCTGCATCAAGTAAGAGAAATTCCAAGAAAACAGTTTTTGTATATATACTGGTTGAGGGTGGGAGGAGCCATTGTGAGGTTCGGTGCGGCTGAAGCATGCTGCAAGGAATGAGCCTTTGTTGTGTAGACTGTTTGAAATGGGAGGTTCCAAATGTGATGGGCTGTAGGAGAAAGGTGTGATGTGTCTGTGATGGACTCGGGGGGATGGTGTGATCTCCATGTGATGGAGGGAGATGGTGTGATCTCCACGTGATGGAGGGGGATGGTGTGATCTCCATGTGATGGACTGGAGGGAGATGGTGTGATCTCCACGTGATGGTCTAGAGGGAGATGGTGTGATCTACATGTGATGGTCTGGAGGGAGATGGTGTGATCTCCACGTGATGGTCTGGAGGGAGATGGTGTGATCTCCATGTGATGGAGGGAGATGGTGTGATCTCCACGTGATGGTCTGGATGGAGATGGTGTGATCTACATGTGATGGAGGGAGATGGTGTGATCTCCACGTGATGGTCTGGAGGGAGATGGTGTGATCTCCATGTGATGGAGGGAGATGGTGTGATCTCCATGTGATGTAATGGAGGGAGATAGTGTGATCTCCACGTGATGGACTAGAGGGAGATGGTGTGATCTCCATGTGATGGAGGGAGATGGTGTGATCTCCATGTGATGGA